AGTCATCCCATTCAGCTCCTGTTAACTCTGCAAGCTAAAGCCCTAACAGGTAGGGTGGTCCTAGCTAGACAAGCAGTGGGAAAGCTTACCAGACAGCAAGATCAATGGCAAGCTATGCAGTTTTAGCTGGTTGGCCTCCAGCAATACCCCAACACACACTCTGCGGTCCCCAAGCCTTGGCTCTTGCCAACCTGCGCCTAATACTTTCCAGAATTTGGTAAACAGGATATGTCCCTCCAGGGAGAGAGTGGGCCTTCCATTCCAATGATCTATCACTGGGATTTCCGTGTGTGTGTTGGTGGCATGGATGGAAACCTCAGTTTCGTTTGGATACTCTTAAGCATGATGATGTGTTTCCAGATGTGTTGACCAAAAAAAAATTACTTTTTTTTAGCAACACTTCTTCCCAATTTTATTTTAGTAGATTGGTTACCCGCCATTAAAACAGCAAATTTTCTACTTTTAAGGGTTTTCTGTGTTTCCAAAAGAGGGCTGCAAATGCAAGAGCTCCAATTACTGTACCACACATTTAGTTGGCACCACTGTAAATGTTTAGCTTAATTTTTTTTAAATGTTATACCAGCTGAATTATTTGATTTTAATTGTTAAAAGTTAAACCTTTCTTCCCATTCAAGAAATGGGAGGAATGGCATGATGAACATTTTTCTGATGTTATGTCCATCCTTAATTTCCTCTGCATTGGTTCTTGTCTAGGGCCTGAGCACCTCCTTTATGTTGTGTAACCAGAATGCAGCACTCCAAGTTTGAGTTTTAAGTTTGAGTTCTAAGGCTCTTAACTGATTTTCCAATCTGATTGAGCAATAAAACCCGGCATCCTGTTTGCCTTGTTTCTTCTGCCTCACATTGTTTTGACACGGTGAGTGATCGGTTAACTAATGCCTCAAGATCATGTACAGCATTACTGTGGGAGGGGGGGTTTGTTTAGTAAAATGCCTCAGTACCACTAGCCAGAAGCCGAATACAGCCAGGACTTGGAAGCTGAATTGATGACCTGACTTTACAACAAGAACAACAACAATATTACATTTTATAGCGCCTTTCACATTGGGAGGACGTCCTAAAGCGCAGGACAGAAAGAGTTACGGACCCGAGCTGGGGGTGGGGTGGGTGAGAGTGGAAGTCAGTGAGGGAAGCAGGGAGATGAAAAGCACGGTCAAAGATAATACAAGTATCAGCATAAGAATAGTTTGTGTGTGTGAGTGTGTACGTGTCTGCATGATAGGAGCAGACAATTAATCCAATTCCTAATCGCTATATAGTCTTACCTGTTTATCTCAGGGACCAAACAGATTTTGTTGACATAAGCAGCTTTCGATAGAAAAGAATCATAGAATTATACAAAACAGAAGGAGACCATTGTGCCAGCTCTTTGAAAAGAGCTATCCAAATCAACCATTCCCATATCAATAAATGTACCAAGTGTTGTCAGTTATTGACAGCTGAGGCACGCTGGGAATGCTGGTCCCGGCACACACTGAGTGAGTGATGCTCTGTGAGTCTGCACGCCCCAAAATTCAAGTGAGCATTTCAGTGCATCAGTGCATCGTGTCCATGTTAAAACAGCTTGTGTCGATATAATGTGTAGTGACAACAACAAGATTACATTTGTATAGTGCCTTTCACATTGGGCGGACGTCCCAAGGCACTGGACAGTGTACAGCATTTCAGACCCGAGCTGGGGTCAGGGAGGGAGAAGGGAGGGGAGGGGTGACTGATGGCATGGTTGAAGCGGAAGGTTTTGAGGCGGGACTTGAAGGAGGCTAAGGAGGGGGCGAGGCAGAGTGACTGGGGGATGGAATTCCAGAGGTTGTGGGCAGAGTGGCTGAAGGCTCTCTCACCAATGGTGGGGCGAGTGGGTCGGGGGACGTGGAGCAGGCAGGAGCTGGCTGAGCGGAGGGAACGGGCGGGTTGGTAGGGGGTTAGGAGGTCGCAGAGGTAGGGTGGGATGAGGCCATGTAGGTGAGGACCAGGATCTTGAACTGGATTCTCTGAAGGATAGGGAGCCAATGGAGGCATGTGAGAATGGGGGAGATGGGGTCACAGAGTTTGGTGTGGGAGAGGACAGGGGCTGCAGAGTTCAGGATTATTTGCACCCTGTGGAGGGAGGAGTTGGGAAGGCTGACAAGCAGGGAGTTTGCATGGTCAAGACTGGAGCTGATGAAGGCATGAACAAGAGTTTCAGCGGCCTGAGGGGTGAGGTAGTGGTGGAGTCGGGTGATGTTACGGAGGTGAGGGAAAGCAGAGCGGGTCATGGCTTGGATGTGGGGAAGAAAAGGGAAGAGAGGAGGGAGGAAAAGTTAGCAGAGGTAGAGCGGGAGGGGGTGAAGTGAAGGTTGAAGTCGCCTAAAATTAGGAGGCGTTCAGAGCAGAGGGAGAGGGAAGAACATAATATACTTAATACCGTGAGGGACTTGAGAAATTTGTCGAAATAAGTGTTTCAAAATTTATGTTGGGATCGACATAACATGTTCCTTTATGG